ATGCAAAGCTCTTCCTCATTTCATTTGACCCCTGAATATAGAGAAAAAATTGAAGCTTGCTTGCCTGCTGAAAAGGGCATGAAGTAGTTGCTCTTCTTAAAGTTGCCGCTTTCATCTAGGAAGTGGCCGGGATCAAACTGATCTGGGTTGGGAAACTCTTTGTCATCATGCAGGAGAGAAGTCAGGGATGTGACTATGGCTGTGCCCTGATACAAAGAGAAACAGATAAACTGGGTTATAACGAAGGTTACGGAGCTTGGAAAAAAGTCCCTGGTCTACTCCTTTTGATTTATAGATGAGGAGATTGATGCCTAAAAAGGAGGATTTGTGTACTTCACGTCCGGGGCTAGGTCTTCAATCATATGATGCCAGTTCATGGACCCCAAGGCCATCAGCACTTGCTCTTCAGGAAATTAAGGACACTCCCTGGAGAACATTGTTCTCCATAAATTGCACTATTGTCTAAAAGTGCTGATGTCACTGAAAATACAGCCCACTCTCTTTGAAACCAAGTATGAGGTCCTCCTCAAAACTCTACCTGTGTGGCCATGTTCTTGAAAACCCTTAATTTCCCGATCAGAATGAAAAACGGGTATGAATCCCCTCCTACTACTATGTTCTTTCAATACTGAATTGTTGTTTTTTTTCTCATGAAAATTGTGATCACTAAGTGAAACAAATAGTTGAGGAGGCAGGGGGAGGGTAGGATACTGGCTCAGTGATCACAGTAATAAAGCCTACAGTGGGAAGCAGTAAGTGGACAGCAGACTGGGCTCAGGGGCAGGCAGAATGTACTGAAAACCCTATGGGAATCTAAGCAGTATTATATTTATACAATAGTGTCAACCAACTAGAACAGTGGTTCTCAACCTTCTGGCCCTTTAAATACAGTTTCTCATGTTGTGACCCAACCATAAAATTATTCTCGTTGCTACTTGATAACTGTAATGTTACTACTGTTATGAATTGTAATGTAAATATCTGCTATGCAAGATGGTCTTAGGCGACCCCTGTGAAAAGGTCATTCGACCGCCATAGGGGTCGCGACCCACAGGTTGAGAACCGCTGAACTAGAATGAAGGGAGCGTGTCATCAGAGGGTGAGGAGCCTGAGTCAGGAATGTGCAATGCCTGTAGGAAGTTAGGCAGCCTGTGATTCTAACCACAGTGAGAGTGGAAAGCTGGGGTTCCTATGGAGGTATGTAGGTGAAACATCTCTCACCTTCGGAATAAAGTATCCTCTGAACTTAATGTCCTGGTTCACCAGGTGGGGCAGGTTGTTGGGGACGAGGTCAATGTATCTCTGAATCTCGTGGATCACGGCATCCATGTAGGGCATGTGGCTCTTGTCCTGCATGCAAGGGCTCCGCTCTCTGCCGACCACACGGTCAATCTCTTCCTGGGCTTTAGCTGGCGAGGTAGGAATCAGAATTTATGTGAGATGAAAAGACTTAAAAAGATCTTCTTAATTCTGGTTACATTGTGGTAGGAGATGGGGAGAAGGGAAAAGGACACATGGCGACTACCTCCTTGAGGGAAAAAAATAAACAGAATTTCAGTCTCCTGGCAAATTGGAATCTCATTAGAGACTTCAATATATGTACATGTAAAACACAACTGTACCATGAAATTCATTTCTCAACTCTGATTCTCTACTTTGTGTATTTTTGTTTGATAGACTCAGGGGTCTGGGATCTTGAAGGCTCACTACAAACCATGTAGTTTAATCTTTGTGTATGAAGCTTTTGTTTTATTAAATCTGTAACTTCCAAGGGGGTAAGAACTAGCCAGTGAGGTAAATGCTTAATAAATAGAGCAACTAAATAAGATGTTTAGTTGGCTCTGCATATAGGAACAAGAAGTAATTTAACATTTATTTAGCATGCAAAATTTGACAGGCATGCTGCATCATTTATTATATTACTTTATAAATTTCTCAAAAACAGTACTAAGTGTTGGGTATTACTTTGTGTATCTTAAAAA